AATAATAAAGAAATAATATTTCCTGACCTCTGCCCCCCAGGCTCGGAACCCCTTTTCCAGCCTTAAAGCATTCAAAGCATACGTTCCAAAGTTGTCAATTCCCTCTTTTTGGCCAGCTTCCATAATTGCACTGTAAAGAGCTACAGAATCTTCTTTTCTATGATAGAGTTCCCAGCCCAATTCACCTGTTACACAGACAAGATTAACAGTTTCATCAGGTCAACAATGGAACAATCCTAAAAACTCCAGTCCTATTCTTGGTAAAAACTGAGCATCAGTGCTATAAGTGTTAATTCACATTCTAGGGTCAATATATAGTAAATCGAATTCCCTGCAAGCACCACCACAGGATTTATGCCCTAAATCTTAGGCAATGGCATTATTATTAAATTGTGAACTGAATGGGGGGCAGGGGGTGTCAGAACAACCGGTAAGAAAAGGTCATGTAATAAAGTCACAACAAGAGATGAATCTTAAGGGCATTACGACAACTTTGCAAGTAAACAACGAATGTAACTGAGTGTAAACAAACACAAAATGAGCTTTTTGTATATTTAGTACAGTAGAAAAAGAACCTGAATTCCAGAGACCCCTGCTGTTTCAGAATGCTCTGAATTTAGTCTAGGGTACTAGAGATGGACATAAAAAGAATTAAAAATAAAAAGTACCCAAGAAAAAACAAATAGCACTACAGCACTACATTTTCAAGGCACTTAAACACTAATATACGGTAATCCAAAACCAATTCTTGACGTTGGTTTTGCAGCAAATATCACAGAGGTTATCAGAACTGGCCTTTTGTTCTGCAAAATAAATATTTACACTATAGGGTATTCTAGAGAAAAAGGTTTTGGAAAACTCAGCACAGACTCTGACCATATCACATTTGAAAATCAATGTACTGTGTTCCTCACACGTTTATATATAACATGTAATGAAATACTGCTTATGAATACATGATGAGATTTATTTTTGAACATAATTTGAGTTGCATTTATTATTTTATTCATTGTCTCTTTCCTTAAGAGTCAGTTTTCTCTGTTGCTTACCTGTGTATGATATCCTAATGGCAGTAAGAGAAATATCAGAAAGTTTCAGATGTCTGGACTGGAGAAACTTGAATGAACCATCACTCAGATCCTCGTTTGTCAACTTCTGAAGGACCTGTCGTGCATATGGACCTGCTACACCAAGTACTCCCATCTCATCTGTCATGTTTTCTATTTCAACTTTGTATCCGTCTCTCATTATTTTCTCTTCTATCCATCTACATGCAAAACACAACATTGATGTTCACTTTTTTTAAAACAACAATTTAAAAATAACTGACTTTAGATAAAATTTTAAAAGAAATAACTTTTCTTAGTGTTCATCCTCCTGGCCGCTCCCATATTCTGAAAACCAATTGAAATATGCACTACATTAGATAGTCAAATCCATCACTGATGTTAAACAGTGTTTTCTGGTGAGATACTGGTATAGGAACACAGTCATCTGGGATACAGCCAGGAAAGGACAGAATTTAAATTAGTGGAACTGTATTTTCAAGATAAGAGAAAGAATTGATTCCACAGAAGTGAACAAGGACTTGCCTTTGGATACAGAATGTGTTAATGAAAGTTCAACGTACAAAAAGCGTAAGTAATAAACAAAACAAACGTAAGAAATATATTCCAGTATCTTAGGGGGGCCTACAAGAAAGCTGGGGAGGGACTTTTTAGGATATCGAGTAACAACAGGACTAGGGGGAATGGGGCAAAGCTGGAAGTGGGCAGATTCAGGCTGGATGTGAGGAAGAAGTTCTTCCCCATGAGAGTGGTGAGACCCTGGAATGGGTTGCCCAGGGAGGTGGTTGAGGCCCCATCCCTGGGGGTCTTTAAGGCCAGGCTGGATGAGGCTCTGGGCAGCCTGATCTAGTGGGAGGTGTCCCTGCTCATGGCAGAGGGGTTGGAACTGGGTGACCCTTGTGGTCCCTTCCAGCCCTGACAGATTCTGATCTGTTTTAGCAGAGGACTTTAGAGCCCTAATGGCTCAATGGTTGGACTTGATGATCTTGGAGGTCCCTTCCAACCTAAAGGATTCTATGATTCTACGAAATATATAAAAAAAAAAATTCCTTTGTCAATAGAAATGTGCAACCAGGTTTTTTCATTCTTGAATATAGTATTTAAAGCATTGGCAGGAATTTCTGTTTTGGTTTAATCAAAAACACAAGCTGCGTATTGTCTTTCACGAAGCTCACAAATAAAGTAAATTTATATGTTCTAAAATTTTATGAAGTACCATTTTTTTAAGCAGTGTTAAAAGACCGCAGGCACAGGGGCGTACCACATAGGACTGCAGAAATTCTGTAGAAGTAAGTGCACTAGATCTGGTTCTGTCATTTGGTTCACGAATGTGCCAATGGTCCTACTGATTCCTGTGGGACATTATTCATCGTGTGTTTCGGCAGCAATTTTCAGTCTTTTATGTGTTGACTCATTCTGATTAACTGATTTATCAGCAATGTCCAGCGAGGGAAAAAAAATTAATCTTTTTCTTAGTATGTATGTACAGCCACTAAAAGCAGTAAAAAATGTCACTTCCAATGCTCATCTATGAAAAGCATTTCAATTAAGTCATCTTGCAACTACTTCTGCTTTGTCTCCTTTTGCTGTTTCACTTTGTGAGCCCAAAGCCCAAAGCAGAAGTCATTATCAGTGTATCAGAAAGATTGCACTACCCAACTGTATTGGCCAGGTCAGTGCCTCTGGGGTCACCCACGTTTAAACCAAATTTTCCTTCTTGCGTAAGAGAAAACACAGAAAGGAACAAGCGTGCTGTGTTCCATCATACAATGCCAAACACAAACAGGTTCAACAACAAAACAAGAACTATCTCCATTAAAGTATATTACATAACTATCAGTCAATTCTCCATCTTTTTACATCAGCAGTAATCCAATATGCAGCTGCTTATACTTCAGGATTCAAGTCAACCAAATTTCTAGGAAACCAAAATCAATAAATAAGTAGAATTCTCGTGAAGGTAGTGGAAGGTTTGTTGAGTAATAATAAAGAACTTGGCACACAGTAAAAAGGTTTCTATATTAATGTGACAGTATAGCACTATGTACTTACTGTATCAAAAATAAACTAACCTCAGATCATGGAGCTCTGACCCCGAGCCAGTTACAAGCATAAATTCCCCAGGATACAGTTGAGAGACTGTTAGCTCAGCATAAACTTTTCCTCTCGGTGTTAACATATGGCTTATATTTGTGGAACCCACCTACAGAGTAAAATTTGCAGTTATTAAGAATGCAAAATAAAGATTTTGAATTCTTAAACATTATGAAATATGTCTTCTCCTGAAAAAACAATTTTTTAATGCTTGTTCTGCTGTGCCATAATAGGCATGTACAGACACACAATTGGCCAAGCTTAAGCTTTACATTAAAAACTTCACATTTTTTCTTTATAGACAAAAGCTGAAATTTTTGAAATAAGATAAATCAAGACTTTTATGACTCTTTATTCATTGTGTATTAAACAAGGTGTCCTTAAGGTACACATCACTTAAGAATGCATTTTCAATGCAAATTCAATCTATTCCAGTTTGTTTTCTAGTCATCTGAACAAAAAAATTCTACATGTCATATTGACAAAAATATTCTTTTTCAATCACGTGAATAAGGCTTTCAGATCCCAAAAAGATAACATATACTTTGTCCCTTACTTTAAAGAAAGACTGAGTTGAGACTAATTTATATATGCTTCTCTATTTTATGTAGTCGCTGACTATGAAACTACATCTCTGTACATTTGAATCAGGTTCTGCATAGAAACATGATCTCTAGAGGCAAAATTTCAAGTATCAGTTGCTTAGCTGTGACCATAAAATACATAAACGTTCATACAGATATCATCCATAGAAAAAGAAATACCCATGTGCCAAAGCTGTTGTGCTGATCTGGTTCCAGAGGCAGAATTTAATCTCTCTTACTTAATTTTGCTTTCGTGAGAGCTTTATCAACTACCCAGTCAATGCCCAGATTCCAGACAATGAATGGAAAAAAGGAAAAACATTGCAGATATTAACATTCTTTTACAATGTCCTATTATATTAATATAGTTACTGGCACATTACAGGCACATAGTTGAATTTTCAGGATCTGATGCTAACCATACTCAACCTGTTTGTGACACAAGCTTATCTCCACTCAATTACTGCATGACATAGGGAAGCATGAATGGTACCAGAATCAGACAGCTTAAATAACCAAGTGTTGTGAATGCTTGATTTTTAAGTGGACTCTCAAACTGTTCTTCACCATCTAGCTTTCTTTTCCCCTTAGCAACACTGATTAAACTCCACAGAAAGCACGCACTTTGTTCTCATAATTTCTTGTTTAATCTTGCTTTCCCTCCACCACATAAATATATTCTGCAAGTGTTAACCATGCCCACTGATGCTCTGACCTCTGAGAAGAAGTTAACTTTGTAACTATAGTTTCAGTTTATTTACCGTCTCCCTATGCTTCTTCCCCCTGGTGAATAAAGCAGCTAAACCCATCACCTACATCAAAAACTTAAAAAAATTCTGTACTGAAATGAGTAAACCACATGTGTGCAGCACTTCAAAAAGGAACAATCTGCTTGCTGGATGTGTATAACTGGGAGTGTAACTCTGAAATTAAAGACACTACATGAGAGTGGTTGACAAAGCAGAAAGATAAAGGGACTCACAATGCACTACCACAAATTGAGGACCAAGAATAAGAAACCTGGGGTAGTTTGTCAGAGTATGCTATTTTTGAAAACAGGATCAAATTCTGAGGATCTGCGAGCAGTCTCAGTTGTGGAGGAAGGCCAGGTGCAAACTGAAAGCTGAATATCTGGAGTATTTGCAACCTTGCCTGCTCCAGGCAGCCAGCTATAAAACAGAGTCTCATGAGGGGATGAAAAACAAGCATGGATCACATTTGGCAGAAAAAGAAAAACAAACAAACACAATGAAACTGTTCCCTTGGGCATCCAGGAAGAATACAACACCAAGCTATAGTCAGGCAAGTGCACCTTCCACTGCTCTGCTCCCACAAGCTGCCACACTACAGCATAGTTTCAGTCAGGCAGCCACCAAACTATTCTACTGTTTACTACACTAGAACATTTCCAAGTGAGATTCACTTGGGCTTTTTTAGACAAAGATTTGAAACACAGGAAATTCTGTCTGAATATGAGGAAATACTTTTTGACTGTAAAGGTGGCTGAACACACGAATAGGTTGTCCAGAGAGCTGGTAGAATCTCCACCCTTGGAGATACTCAAAAGACCCAGGTGACCTGCTTGAACACTGGGTTTGACAAGGTGACCTCCAGAGGTCCAACCTCAATCATGCTAAGATTCAAGGACAATGGAAGAAGAACCAAAATGTACTTCTGCTGGGGGATGCTCTAGTACAAACTCCAGTGTTCGTATTCTTAACTGACTGAAATACTTCTCCAGACAGTAATTTCTCCAAAGGATCTGAGTGCTTGGTATTTGAAAGATACAGCACTATTATGCTTCATTTTCCACTTCTGAAACACATCTTTCTTGTCTAAATCCTACATTAAAACAGTTATCACTGTCCCATTTACCTTTGGAACAACATTTGCAAATAGATGATCCAGCAGCTTAACAGAATCTGTGCCTTTTACTTTAAACTTGCCAAATGGTGACAGGTCAATCACACCGACTTTTTCCATAACCTGTTTATACTCACGACCCACAGGGTCAAACCAATTTGTGCGCCGAAAACTGGGTCTGAAACAGAGCATTTACACACATAAAACACAATATGGAAATTTTGTGCTCTTTTCAGCAAAACGTAGTTTTCAGTTTCTTCAGCTTAATAACCATCCAAAAGAGATAGACTTGCCTAATTGTAGGTAGCTTACCCAATATTTTCCTTGGTCTAACATAGCTTAATTATTAAAATCCTTTAGCAACAGAGAAAGATATGGGTTGATATTTTATCAACCATTTCGTACAATAAACTGTGAACTGTTCAAATGTTAGAAGCAGTAGTCTGTCATGTGTAAATTTACAGCACACTTTGTTGCTGAATCATTTATTTGAGTTTAAGGTGTCAAAAGCTTTAGTTCTGAAGAGCAAAGTGTGTCTCTTTATTTGTTTATGAGACTCGTTTAGATTGGGGCTTCAGTATTCAGTTACAGGATGCCTTGATGTGTGTTTTGAAATGTCTGTGTTACCAGAATGACATGGATTCTAAACTACAGAAAAAAGCAAGAATGGAAGATCTACCTAACAGATACCTTTAGTAGAAATCAATAATAAATGTATGCTTCTTATTAAATTTAACTCAGCTGGCCCTTGCTATCATGGCAATTTATCATGGGGGGGGGGGGGGGAAAAAGAA